GCCAATAATGAAAATTGGACATAACCTCAGCATTTAGTTTAGTTGAGTACGGAAATTCCAAGCGCCGAGTTCTTCGAGGAAGAATAATCTTGCAATGTGTTGTCCTCAATAGATTAAGTATTTTATTAACTGTAAAGTCCTTTTGGAAAGAATAATTTTGATTGTGTGAATTTTCAAGTCTGGTTACCCAGCTCGTCGTCAGACAAATGAGAGTTGTGCAAAAACGGTTAACTCAAAACAATGACCAACCGTAGAATCTTGTGTCAGTCATGGTTTGAGCTAACTGTTTTCGCACAACTCTCATTTGTCTGACAACGAGCTGGGGAACCAGACTTGAAAATTCACAAAATAAAAATTATTCTTTCCAAAAGGACTTTACCGTTAATAAAATATATCGCTCGGGAGTCCGATATTTCAAGATAAAATATTATGTAACAAGCCTTTGTAAAGCCTAGATAACAGCTGAACTTAAAGGGTTTCGATAGTAAGCTTTTGGATATCCAAGTTTCAGGCCTGTTTTTAAAGACTATTCAGACCCTCAAGGGTTATAATCCAGCGGATGAAACAGTCCATCTAATGTTTAAATTAATTTAAATACGACAATGTGTACCAAGCAAAGCGAAGTTATAAAGTGTCAACATCAGAGATGAGAAAATGCAGGTTCTGGATTCAGCTCACTGATATGTAACTCCCTAAATTAATGCTATTTTCGGCAAAATTCAGTCAACAGCAACTCGTCTCTCAAGAAAGTGAACGTATGATCACTCGAACAGCAGGATTATTAGTCTGTACCTCCGGACTCGTATAGGTGCACAGCATCAGGCTACGAGAGACAGCGACAACAACAACAGCAACTGATCAGTTTTGTAGTCAACCAATGAGGTAGGGCAGGAGGGGAGGGGTTAATGCGCGCAACTGGGCTGGGTCCACACCATCTAGATCACAGTAGTCTCACGGCGTAGTGATGGAAACTGTCTGGGAAATGGGTCATGCGAGCGTAGCGTGTGACAACATGGGAGTATATCAACATTGTTGTGGCAGTCATTCGCAACAGTTTGTAAAAATGGAACAGGGACAATGACGGAATCATTGCGTCTAAAGGCTCTCATGGCCAGAGTTACGACACCTAGAAGTCAACCGGTTTGAGTGTGGAATACAGTGCCTCTCGAATCAATGTCAACGGCAACCAACTGAAAACTGCACTTGACGTCAGACACGCAGGGATCACACTTTCACACATGGGACACGCATATCTTTTCCACTCAAGAGTAATTTATCTGTGGAACGGATAACTACGAAAATGCAGTTTCCACACGAATCAGTCACCTATAGCATGCTTAAACAGCAAATATCGGCGAAGGTCATGCCTCTAGCAGATAAGAAATGTCATCGCTACCAGCACTCAAGGAGGTCACCGACATATTTAAAACACAAATGACGACACTGCAACGCAGCACTGAAACAAAAGACGCATGCCTCTTCCAATTAAAATAAAAAAATACTACGAAGAGCAAAAAAACAGCATTCAGTGAAAGGAATTCCAGCACGGGTTACTGCTAAGTTGGGGGATTAATTTAGCAGGAAGGTTCAAATTTAAAACGGATACGGCTGTGAAAAAAGCGATGCGAGCGCTATGTGTCACGAAACTGATGTGTTGAGCTGTCTCACCTTAAACTGAAATCAAAATATATCCTTTTTCTGCATGGTTAGTTATCTTGACGTGCAAAGGGAGAAAGGGATCAAGATATAGAGAACAATCACCAAGATCGGAACATATTGCAGCTAGCTGTTTCTTCCAGTAGGATTAGACTTTGTAATTTTAAGTTAAAGTTCTCAATTCTGCTAGAAGGCATTTCAAAGGGCAAATCAAGCGTTTTTGGGACACTTTATATAATCAGCGCCGAAATCGTTTGCCCTGCACATTCGCCAACTTTCAAGGCGAAGACAGGATCGAATTTACGGACAGCACATGTATTGAAAGTATTCTTTTCTGGAACACTCCGTTTTCATCGGCAATTAAATATCTCGCTCGCAGTAAAATTCGCAAATTTACTATACGAAAATGCTGTTATTCGCGATTTTTTGATAATTTACGTAGAGGCCATCCGTAAGAGAGTAAAATAGGTAAAAATTTTCACGCGGCATATATCTTTTAGCGTCTACGTATGGGTTAACCGCTTTTTACTTTCTTGCAGACATTACCTCGAAAACCCGAAATGAATTTCATTTCTTTTTTGCAAGCCCGTTTTGCCCCGTCAGCGATATATACTTAGTTAAATTCGCACTGTTTTTCCAGTCTTATTGTCTCTGAATCCTGAATAAATATATCTCCCTCAAAATGGCAGAACTGAAAGTGCTTTCAGAGTAAATGAACTACCAAAAGCTCCTCCTCCGAGGAAGCAAGGTGTGCTCACGTGTCGGTTGACATGGCGTCTGACTATGAGAAGAACAGGTAACTGTTATATCCTCTGTATGCTCCAAATATCAAGGAGATTACATATATGTCCGCAGAACAAAAATTCGCTTCTAGTTTCAGTAATTCTTACGCAACTGTCCTATGATAAGAAGAGAAAACTGAGACCCATAATTTTAGGAAGTTAGATCTAAACCCTGAGCAAATACTGATGAAAATGCGATAGAAATGTGTACTATCTTTTTAAATTTGCTTTTGCTCCAATTGCTAACACGCGTAGTGATCGTGTTGAAATTTCTTTATTGCATCAACGAACCCTCCTGATCGTTACCAAAACTGGCATGGACGGCCTATCGCGCTGAAACCTACTTATCAAACGGCCTGCACGTTAGTGAGTGAAAGAGGTCACGATCACCTATGTGGCTCCTCATAGTCCTGAGATCTGACATACCTGCTTACATCATTTCAGTACTCAATTCAAGTCCCTCCATTTTCGCACATTCTCTTAGCATTAGCATTCGGATTAGAAGGAGGACTGGGGTAAGGCTCGGACGTTAGGTGTCGAAGTCTATGATTTTGAAAGAATTAGGGTTAGAAGTAATGGCTGTTAACTTCAACTATATTTTTAATCGCGGTCATCAAGAGAGTTGGATCAACCGGTATTATGCTTCGGACCTTCTCCTTCAGTTGTATTAATAATCATGAACCCGGATAGGCTCGCATGCAGTATCTAACAAATGTCATGGGTTTTACTATTTTTCACCCGTCTACCGCTTCTCATTCCCCGCATACCAAAGTACGCACCGTTTCTTTGCGCTTCGCTGGGGGATTTACACAAGCTAATGAAGTGAATGTCGATTTCCTTCCCCCCACCCATACAACACCTATTAGCACCATTCCCGTACCACAGGAACCCCTGTCAACCATAGTCTGAGTTAGGCCACATATTCGATTGACGCAGTGGAAGAGCATGTGAATTACTTGGTACAACACCCGAACGGAAAGTCAAGTGTAAAGGAAGTTCGAGGAGGAGTTGCTGGTTGCTTACCGTTGACAAAACCGATGAAAAGGCTTCAGTGCAATCATGGTGCATACAGAAAACCATTCAGAATAATATCTTCGTATGCTACTCGCAGGATTCAGCTTTTTGGAATTTTCCTTCAGCAGTGAAGGTCCCTGCAACTCCTATGTAGATGAGGCCAGTACGGCTGTGCCGATCTATATCTGCTCTCGCAGACAATTCGTAGAGCCCTATACCCGCGTGGACAGCCCCGGAATTGTCACAGGGTTAAACCCCGCTCTCTGTAATCAGACCTATCACCACTCAAGCTTTACTGGCCAATCCGAGTAGAGTTCTGAATCCTCAAGCAACAGAGCTTCTAGGTTACGCCTAGTTCTTAACAGTGTTAAAAAAAGTAAAAACACGATTCCCCGGCTTCACGAATTCATTGTTGCCGAGGCGCGCTTAATTTGGTCCGATAAATAACTTTGTCCCTTCTTACACGCGGAACTTGCCTGTGTCGGGAAAAAAAGCACACTCATCGTCTGTCTAAAATATTATGCGAAAGTATCTTCCTTCTCTTTCTGTAAAAATTAAGTGTGCGCAGTTAATCCCCCATCAGTTTGATACTCGAAGCTGGCGGGCCATGTGGGCTTTTGAAATTGAACTACCATTTTTTCTTCCCTCCATTCACCTGTAATTTGTTAGACAAGACCGATTTTAGAGGTCTTTTATTGCCTTTGAATTATAACAATTACCTACTTTTACAATTTTAGTAACTCGGCTTTCCTTTTTTCGTTAAGGTCGAATTTCCATTTTCGTTATATTTGCCAATATAAGGTCAAATTTCCCTCAGTGGGCATCCATATTCTACGCAACAGGAGTTTATGTTAATGTAATTTTACTCCATTTACTATATTGAAACAAAGATAATCTTATTTAATTGAATATGTTTGCTCACGTCTGCCACAATTAAATATTCATGTACGCTCACTAGCCAAGAATTAAATGTTTAACCACAAAATACGTTAGGCAGTTGGGCGGGGAGAATAGATATCTACATGGCTCTACAAGCTGGTTTTGCCTTTTTTTATATATATATATCGCTTGGACTATCGCGGCCACTATAAACCGATTCTTAGCCCTCCTCGTTTATTTGAACTAAAACAGTGAAATCTGAAAGATCACGATGCTGGCACCGTTTTAAAGGAAGTCCAATTCGGCCTACATTTTGTGACATATTTAGGGGTAATTCTCCACGATGTCGACAATTGCAGTTTTTGACCATTATGTGTACCTTATTTTATTCTTATTTAATGGAGGAAAATTTTGGAATTATGTTTTTAAAATCAAGCGTATCCCCCTTCTCTTCTTCCATCCTTCCTTTCGTTTCCTCAGGAAGAGGCAGACTTTAAAGCAGCGGCTTTCAGTCTTACCGTTCAAGTAATAGTTGATAAACCAGTTAGGCGGACTGCGTGTTTCGTAAACCGAAGGATCACCTGACGATTTTATGCGAGCGAACGGTTCCTTAAGACCGTGTAGGGAAGCAAGTGCTGCTAAGAGCGAGAACTTAGGGTTGCTGGCAGTTTATCGATAGATAAAATGCCCCCGAATAGGTACCTGTTCCTCCAGTGCCTTTATTTCATTCAACCTCTGCTCGCGTTCCTCTCGTTGCTTAGTCTTTGTCTTCTCCAGCTTTTGGCTAAGGGAAGTCACAAGGCCACGGAGGTGGACCAGTATACGGTCCGCTTCTTCAACGAGCTGTTGATATTGATCCAGCCGGCAGCGCAGGTCCGAGTTATCTTGACTGAAGTCCTGCCAATACGAGGGAAAATCAACTAATGCATTACAAACAGGAGGAAACATGAAAAATGTTTGGGCAAGAAATGGGGCCAAAAACACCTTAAAGGCTAGGTGGTCTTTTTCTTCAGACATGGACCACACAGAGGAAGAATAAGAAGTGATAAAAAGGCCACAGACCACTTCAGGAGTTAATTATAGCAACTAAATAGAACGGTAAAGTTTGTAATCGAACGTCTCCATGAGTTACAATCACTTAGCTGACTAACGAATGGACCACTAAGCAAAGGCCTTTTCCTGGGTTGAATTAGACTTAAGAAACATTCACCAGGAGACAGCATCTACAGACT